CAACTTTTAACTTTTTTTTTTTTTTTAAAAGTAGTGATCTTTTTCTATCACTACATACTCTCCTACATTGATTTTGTAGATGGCCAAATTTCTGTGACATCTTACAGGAATTAGGAACGTATGGCTCTACCTTGGCTATTGTGTATCCTATCTTTATTTCTTTCAGTAGAATAGGTTCCTTGAATGTCAAAATGTATGTGTTTGTGTTTATTGATGTGCCATTTCTACTCCTTATTTTTTAGGGTGTCATCATTTTTAATTTCTTTTGGTGAACAGAGTGACAGTTCTGGGCATTTTATTACTCCTTTAGATGAGAAATTAGTTGGGATAAGCTTTCATGTCATTTATGAAAAAATGTATTGCTAGTAATTTTTTTTTCTGGTAACATTTTGTGGTGGTAACACAACGATTCAACTGATAATAGCAGATAGGAACAAAAAACCGTGAGGAGGGTAACAGACAAAAACCAGTGTCACACGTCCAACCTTCTCAAGAGCAAAAAGCCCACTGATCAGAAACAAAAACGCACCTGCTTTATACAGCCGAGTACTGACCACGATTTGCATGCGAATGATGAGACGAGATTTCGCGTTAACTGTCAGAGACTGCCTGGCATAAAACATGGGCGCCGCCATTTTGGTTCCTTTTACCATTGAGCAAAACGGAGTTTGCACATCGCACAGATTCGCAGGCGTTTCCAAGGTAGGCCATTTTCACAATTTTCCCCACACTCGCCCCTGATCTCATGATCACAAACAGGGCAAGGAGGTGGCAATCATCGCCGTCGAGTTCCCCTCCGAAGGGGGACAACACAAGCTTCATCCTCATGCGAGTTCTCGTCTGTGGTTTGAGTGTCGGTAAACACTGTGTCCGCTGGGAGGCTGCTGATATCAGAATCACTGCCCTGCAGGTCTAACTCCAAGCAGATCGAACGCTCACTACTCTCAGACTCAGAATCGCTTTCGTCGCTCAGTAACGGTAGTGATTGCATCACTGGTCACAAGTCTTTAATGTGACGAGGCACCCCATCAACTCTCACAGATTGCGGGCTAATCACCTCCATAACACGTCGCACCGGATCCTTGCACACCAAACCGTAATCTGAAAAGTGTTGTCGTACACGCGATGCAGAGACCAAACTTTCATTAATGAAAATATCATCAAGGTATGCTGATGTGGCACTTTCAATTGTGCGGTCTTGCGATGTGATGGCATCTATAATGGATGTCATAATGATTGGCACCACATTTAGCCCAAATCCTAGCCATGTAAGACAGAAGTGTTGGCCTTTGAAAATAACCGTTTGAAATGGCCACAGCGCTTCGTCGATGTGAATCTGAAGATATGCGTTTCACAGATCCAGAAGCGACACATTGACTCCCTGCCACCGCCACATTCTCAGCTTATGTGCACACACTTCTGCATTGGCATTAAAAGCATCCACAAAGTCGTTCAATTCGCGGTAATCGAGTACCGGACACACCTTCTGTTTCTGCTCCAGCACGACTGCCATCAAGGGAATCAGACCCTTTGGGGGTCCCAGTCTTTCCTGGGGGTACGGAATCAACCAGCCGTTCACAATCCGCTGTTGAAGCTCTTTCTCGTATTTTCCTCTGATGCTGTCGGGAACTTTGTACTCTGCGACCTTGTTGTGAAGCTGAACTGGTGGGTCTTTTTGGGCCCATTTCCACCTGGCGGTCCACACCCTCTCGTCGAAATTGAAAGAGACGTCGAAATCCGGCTCACTAATGCAAAGGGCTGCACACACCTTTCTTCCTTTACTCAGTTCCACATTTCCAGCTGGCGTGATTATCATGCCTCCTAACGCTCGGATCGCATCGATCCCAAGCAGCAGGTTGTAACCGAGGGGCCTTTGATGTGCCGCCAAAACGTCGACCTTGGCATGATTCCCTCCGTCTGTGAGGATTGATACAGTCCTGACCCCACAACAGGCCCGGGACATTCCGTCAATTGTCCTGAATCTCGATTTGTTGACTGCTCCATGTCACGCATCAATCCGCACTAACGATCGATCGGGAACATCCAGTGTTAACGAGCGCCGAACATCATTTACCTTCAACATGAGCGTTGAGAACAGGCAATGCCGCATTTACTGACCGAGAGGCGGCAAGGGTTGCAACAGCACCTTGTCCCCGGGCTCGTTTCCCGAGCAATCCTGTGCTACATGGCCTAACTCGTTGCAGCGATAGCAGCGTAGTCGTGCTTGTGTCCGTCGGCTGCTCTCGCCTTCTATGTCACTCCGGCTCCAGCAGTCTCTAGAGAAATGGTTGGGTCCACCGCACTTGTAGCACTTTGGACCCTCCCGCAGTGTCTCGGGCATTCTCACGACTGCTGCGACCTGTTCTGTGTCTTTCAAGATGTTTCGGGCCCTGGCTAGCAATTCGTCAATTCCCAGTTTGTCCAATCTTGAAGACGCTCGCAGGAGCCGACTGGTGTCGTCGGGAAGTCCTGCCAGGAAGGCGCATCCCAGTATGCGGTCCGTTGCTCCGCCAAACGGCACCGTCAGCCTTCGCAAATCGGCCAGGTAGACATCCACCGTCTCACCCAGCTTGAGCCATCGTCCGATGAACTGTTTCCAAGCGATGAAGGGGTCTATTCCAAAGGCCGTATATAGGGCACTCTTGATCTCTTCTAGGTCAGCATCATCCCTGAGTTGTTGATATACGGCGTAGGCTCCCCTCATGAGTCTCAGTGGGATGACCAGTGCAGGTTCTTTTATTTTGGACATCCTGCAAACACGTTCGGCCTTCTCAAACCATTTGAACCATTTTCAAAAGTTTACAAGTTTTTCCAGCAGTAAACTAAGAATATCAAAATATTTCAAAATTAATATATCTGGATGTGATGGATAACAGAAAAATGGGGAGGTGTCCCTCGGCTGTAAAAATGCCAATTGCACTTGTTCCTTAGGATATTTTTTATCATAGATTGCTGTAACAGATCCCTTAATGTTTTTCAAACTATATTGTCCTGTTTTATAATTTTAACTATTTTTCTTTCATCTGGAGTTGACACTGTTTTTACTTCTACTTCTCCCTGAGACACAGGAATAAAACTATATAGTTTTTGAGTTCCTGTAATTGTCGAGACATTTTTAAATCTATCTTCTAAGATTTTTGCTTCATTTTTCCATTCATTTGTTGAGAAGTGTAAAATATTTATGCTTGAAATGTTTTTTCTTGCATAATCAAATAGCTGTCTTGGTGTCATTATCTGTTCATTATAGGGCTGCTGCAGGCTTGCTTTCTTTCATTGCTAATCTCTTCACAGTGCTACCTAATTGGTCACATGGTCCTTTCCCACTAAAAAAAGTGCCAATCTGCATCAATACCAAAGTCAGCTTTATGGTTGCACAAACTGATAAAATATTTATAATTTTTATAATGTGAAGCAATACCATCAGAGAAATAGATAAGGTTTTTCATTTTAAAATTAAGATTTTTTCAACATTATGATATGCTTTCTTTGGAACAAATGTACAGCTACTGTGTCATGCTTGAGACAATCTGATATAATTACAAAATTAATATGCTCCGGCTCTCTGTCATTTCTATAGTAACAGACAAATGGATGTAATATAGCTTGAACATTATTCCAATGGAAGCCTTGTGCGGCAGCCTACAAAATAAATTAATAATTCTTGGCAAAATCAGCTATAACCATGACTTCATCATCCATCAAACAACTTTTATTAGAACAAACTTTTTACTGTTCTTTGACAATGAAATCATGTTCTTTCAAGGTTTGAAGGACTGAAAAAAAGTTTCAATTCCTCTGTAGATTGTGGTAGTTTTCAGTGTGGTTCTATCAGTTAATAGCCACTGTTTGTATATCAAATCATCTACCAAATTTTTATTTAGAATTTTTTCTACATATAAAACAAAATCTTCCAGAATGCTACAAGTTGAACAGTCACCCCAAGTAGCAGTTAGATGTTGCTTCATTGCATGTAACAACTATGCATTGTGGTAATCTGTTAAATGATATGGTTCACCTTGAGTCAGTGTGCCAAGATGAATCCCCCACAATCATCAGTTTCATATTTAGACAGTGTGTTCCAGCACTACCTGCTAGGATAAATTCTTTTGGTCAGATCTCAGCAAATTTTCAAAAACTATTTCTGCTTGGATTCTTTGATTTAAATAACTGGTATGCCTCTTTCAGATTACACAGTGCAAGATATTTTTGCTCCTGAACTCTTACCATTCTTTAAGACTGTCCTATAGTCATTTTTTTCCAGGCATTACTTTACTGACTTCTTTTCTCATATAAAACAGCACAACTTCAATTGTCTCTTGTGCAATCTACATTTTCATGTATTTGGTAAAGTTAAGATTTCTTGTTCATTTACAAGTTTTTTTGGCTTGTCTTGTCATGTATATTGTGGCACCAAATTCCATTTGAATTATTTGGATACTCCAGCTTTTTGGAAATTTTGTCAAAATTTGTACTTTTTGGGACCTCTTTTCACTAGCTACAAACTTTTCTTTTAATTGTTTAATAATTTCACTTTCATCACAGCTTTGGTCCTCTTCTACATTGACGGCTTCTTGAGAAATTTTAGTGAAAATTAGTTTCATTTTCTTTGATACTGCTCCCTTAATTTTTCTTACTTTTTTTCATCATAACTGGTTTGTTTTTCAAGTTTTTGACACTTGATTGGCAATGCACCAATAATTGAAATTGACTTATTAAGAAGTTGCAATTCATTTTCACTATCTACAAAAATGCTAGAAGGTTGCAGATGATGCTGAAGTCCTTTTAGAAAAATCAGGTAATGCTGTTAATTTTATTAGAAAAGACAAAGAAAATTAAAACAAAAGAATCATTTGTTTCTTTTCCATCTTCAAATATGACAGGACATTCTTCCCAATCTAATATAACTATGTACACAAGGAGTACAGATACAATGAGATATAAAATCCTTCATGACCATAGACAACAGAAAAAGAAATAGTTCTTTCATTTATTTAACTTACCATTTGTCCATGCACGAGATCTCGTAAATTCCTGCAAGGTCATACTGTCCCATACTGCTGCACGTGGGTGACTGTAAGGATTGTAGACATCAATTTCATCACACATGGACTGGATCTGAAAAACAAAAAAATATCCACAGAAGTTAATCTCAACAACCCCAAAATGAAAAACAAATGAATTATTTGATCATTATTTAATCCTTTCAAACCCAACATTCTAACAGCATTGTTTACATTAAATTCCCTGAATGTTTCCTGAACATGCACCCAGTACCGGATTTACCTATAGGCTTTGCAGGTTGAAGCCTAGGGCCTCAAAATCTAGGGGGCTTTCAGCCAAGTTGTATAATATTATTAGCACTGTCATAGGCCTTTCTTACACATGATGTCATAATACATTGTCGACAACCCTTTAGTAATTTTCCTTACATGCCATTTCAGAATAATTCTGTCTTAAGCCGATAACTCGATGCTAGCATTGATTTCTTTATAGATTTAAAAAATTTTTAACATTCATGCATTTTTTTCAATCATATACTGTATTTAACAATAACAAGTATGTCCTTTAGAGGAGAAATTGTCAACTGTATGTAGAATTTCAAAGACTCATCATCATCCTCAGCTTTACACAAATTGTTTAATTTAACACTCTTCCATTTTCCTCTAATAGCCTAGGGCCTCACTTAATCTAAATCTGGTCCTGCATGCACCTAAAGAAGGCCAGAGGGCACAATGGCTGAAATGTTTTGATACAACAACAAAGATGAGGATATTAGTCCGAGTGTAATTAATGATAACTCCTCATCACAGAAATTCTGCCAAAAATGTTCAAAACAGATTCCCAGCTGGCTTTGTTTATTTTTATAACTGGATTTAAGATTTATCTTTTGAATTTCAAGCAGATTTCCTGTCACATATATCAGTGAAATTCTTTTAATTCAAAGACAAACTCATCGTCTACACACTTACTGTTACATATCACCATTCATCTATGACACTTTGACAAACTGCAACGGGATGCTGAAAAGTCATTTGACCTGACCCACTTTCTATAATCAGTATTTTGATGTTTGGTCATTAAAATATTGATTTCAATATTTTAATGACCAAACACCAAATTACTGATTTTTGGAAGTGTTTCAGGTTAAGGACTATTCAGCACCCCCTTCATATATACAAAAAATTTCAAGCACAAATCATGAATTTTTCTGGTTGGAAATGAATGACATGAAATTTTCATGAATGCCAAAATTTCAAAAGCTACTTATTTTGGAAACTTGACCCGAGAACCTTTCAAAAGCTTTCCTTTACAAGCACATACACAAATTCATTCTGATAAATTAGGAATGTTCATATACCTTTCTGAGGAAGAAGAACATATCCAACATTGCCAAGATTGAAAGATTAGGAATTGATGTTGAATAAGATCGAATTGGACCTTCAGCGAGCTGTACCATTTTTATGCCATCCACATACACTTTATTGAGGCCAAGGTCAAATTTTTTCAATAGTTCCATTATATGTGGCTGACAACTACAAAGAAATATAGAAAAAAAAATTCAGAAAAGATCAATAAATTAATAATAAAATCAATAATCCTTTTTAAGTTGATCTAAAACTTATTACAAAAAAAACAAAAAAAACAACATTGCATGCACAAAAAATAATACATGTCAAATAGTGTTTTGTGCTACCTTGTGGGTGATAAATTGTTTTTTACTCCTCAGCCCCTTTCTCACAGATGAAACATGCCTAGCTTCTCACTACTATCATTATTTGCATGGCAGATATTTGGGGAAAATACATTCTAGGATTCCACCAGACCAGATCTTCACAGCTAGGACCCACCATATATAGCATTGACTCATTCTCATTTCCTTCATATTCCATTTGTAAGGAGTAAGTTCAACTATGACAGCTTCTTCCTACTGTAAAGTGAAATGGACTGACATGAGGATGCTTCCCTGTTCACTAAAATTTTAACTACTTTAAGTCAAGGGGTCTATATATCTATATATATATTTATAATGTGAAAAGTGTGTGTATAAAATATAAACATAAATATATATGTATTATATATATTATTATTTATATATTATATGCACGGTACTTATTAGAAAGTGCTCAATATCAGAGATAGAGCTAACATATTTGTTTGGATTGTTGAGACATCAGTCCAACCAAATATATATATATTAATGAACACTGAAGTTAACACTCAGAAGTGGCAGACAGGGTTAGGAAAGAGGAATTTGGTACTAGAGTGTAGCTACCCCTTCTTTTATGGAGGAGGGCATGGGGCACAAATACAACATTTACTTTTAAATAAGAACAAAATGACCAACAACTCTTACAAAATGCATTAATCTTTTCCTAGGTGTATGTGAAACTAGGTGGCCAGACAACACAGATTTTGTCAGTGACAATCACAGAATGACATATTCAAGTGGAGAGAAAAATGATAAAGGAGTAGGATTGCTACTATATCAAGAATTCAAGAAATGTGTTCTGGGATACTATCAATTATCCAAAAGAATTTTGATAGCTATGTTAAAAGGTTTTCCTTTCAGTTTGGCTATCATAATAGCGTATGCACAGACAGCACAAAGTAAGGAAGAAGAAATTGAATCTTTCTACTCCATGCTAGACAACGCCAAGGCTCATTGCAAATCACAAGTCATAATTATCATGGGGAACCTGAACGTGGTGAAAAATGGGTCCAATGGTACATGGTTAATGACCAGGTAATAGCCAACACATGGTTCCAAGAACATCTGAGAATATTATGGACATAGAGAAATCCAAAACCAAATTGACTACATAACTATCAACAAAAGATTCAGGAATGCAATGGTTCACTGTAAAAGCTATCCCAAGTGCCAACTGTGGAAGCAACCATTGCCCTGTTATATGTAAACTAAAAATGAAACTATGGAAACTGAAGAAGCCTAATGCAGCACCCAAATTGCAATGCAACAAACTCCTAGGTGATCCGAACCTGAAGGGAAAATATATGGACAATGTGAAAAGAGGATACAAAGGACAAAATGAAAATGGAAACTTGAAATGGGATACACTAAGAGAAGCTTTAGTGACATCAGCAAATGATATCATCCCACAGGAGAAAGGATGAAGAAGAAAAAAAACGAATGGATCACAGATGAGATTCTTGACATGATGCAAAGGAGACAGAAAATTTTACCAAGATACTGAATGGAATACAGCAAATTACACAATGATATAAGGACCAAATGTATAGATGCTAAAGAAGAGTAGCTAAATGAAAAATGTGCAAAAATGGAGGGATTCAATGCCACAGACAAAGGAGATATGTGTAAACAAAGAAGGGAACTAACAAGACAGAAAATATGCTCATCGATAGGCTGCATAAAATCTAAGGATGGAACGCTCATATTAGAGAAGAAAAAATTCTTCAATACTGCAATGAATATATTGGAGAACTCTTTTACAACGAAAGAGAACAACCAGCAATACACAGAATTACTGATAGGCCTGAAATTCTAAAAACTGAAGTAGAAGCTGCACTGGCCAAATTGAACAGAAACATGGCAGCAGGGCCAGATGGAATTGTAACATAAATGATGACAGCCTTAGAGGATTTTAGCATAGACAAGATTATAGAAATAAAAAATGAAATCTACAACAATGGGGATATACCGGAAGATCTAGGCAGATCTATTTTCATAGAACTGCCTAAGAAACCAGGTGCAAATGAATGTGAACACCGAACAATCAGCCTCATGAGCCACATAAAACTCATCATCTGTATTCTGATGAATAGAGCATGTAGCAGAATCAAGCAAGAGATAGGACAAGAATAGTGCATGTCCATTAAAGACACCAGAACAAGGTTCAGAATGTTATCAGAAAGAGCAATACAAATCTAGAAGGATGTACAGTACACCTGCGTTTTATAGACTACACAAAGGTATTTGACAAAGTACACCACAAAGATCTGTTCGAGTTGCTCAACAACCTTGACATATTTGGGAAAGATATCAGGATAAGCAAACTGCCTGCATAAAGATAAAAAATGAGTTCAGCAGATATACAAAATTAGAAGGTGGGTAAGGCAAGGGTATGTCTTCTCACCAGACTTATTCAACCTATACAGTGAGGTAATTCAGAGAGAACTGAGAATCCTACCAGGATTCACCATTGATGGCCACAATCTTAACATCATAAGATACACAGATGACAGTGCTGATAGCCGACATAGAAAGGAAACTACAAAACCTTTTACAGAAGGTAGCAAAGGAGAGCAAGAAGAAGGGACTAAGTATGAACTACAAGAAGACAGAATGCATGGTCACCAGTAAAAAAAAAAAATGAGCCCAAAATGCAATTTATTATGACTGAACTAGTGATCAAGGCACTTTCCAGACATTTTCGTCTCAATAGATTATTTTCTCTTTTAATCAAAGTAACATTCCCTATGTCAAAACTGTGGTCTGTTTTTTTTTTTAAATTTGTAGCCCTCAGTATTTACAAGAAGAGGAAAAATATATAGAAAATACATTCAAGAATCTTCAATACACTAACAATTTCATTTTCAATTTGAAACAAAAAGCTCATAAAATATTCCTAAATAGGAGAACTGTCCTTCTTGACAAACCCAACAAAATCAAAAAAATATATTATTCTACCCACTAACTCTATCACAACTACAACCAAAAAGAATTTATCTAAACTCAACATAAAATTTGTCACAACTACATCTAAAACAATCAAAGACTTAATAAAAAACAAAACAACCAGCCAAAACTTGAAGGAGGAATTTACTCTATCAAATACAAGATTTGCCTTAATGAATATATTGGAGAAAACTCCAAAAAGTTTAAACAAGAGACTATATTAACACAAAAGGGACATTTTAAATAACAAAACACAAAATGCATTTGTTGTTCACTGTAATAAAACAGACCACAGTTTTGACACAGGAATTGCTAAAAGAATGTTAAGAGAGAAAATAATCCACTGAGATGAAAATGTTTGGAAAGTGCCTTGATCACTAGTTCAGCCATGATAAATTTGCATCCAGGCTCTTACAATATATCCCCATTCTTAGTAGATTTTATATTGTCACAGTGTGGGATAATCAGGAACAAAGGTGGTGGAGAGAAAAAAAAAAGAATATATATGATTTTGGCTAGACTGAGAAAAAAAAAATTCTTTCAAAAGATTTTGAAACTACCTGTGTCTCTCGTTTCATATGCATGTGTAGACATGGCAACAACACCAAAGCCCATGTCCGATGAAATCCTAACGGATGAAATGCATCACAAAAAAAAACTTTACAGTTTGTCATATATATATATATATATATATATATATATATATATATATATATATATATATATATATATATATATATATATAACAGAATACAGTGAGTGCTGGAATTAACAAAAACACAGTGCTTGATTTTAAATAAAAGTGCTAAAATTATATATTTAAAAGAATATATATCTCACTGTGAACATTTTTTGTAGATACTTGTATTTGAGTAGGTGCTCTGTTTATGTATTAAACAGTATATTTATTTATTTTCATGCACTGGCCTGAATGTTTGAGGAATCTTATTAAAGAAAAAATTGTGCTCTCTGGCAGGAATCAAATCTCTGTCCCTCAGAGCAAATGGAGCTACCATTTAGCCCTATATTGCCTTACCAACTTATCCATAGAGAACAGTCGATATATATTTATTTATTATACACACACACACGCAATATATGGTTCTACTGGTACAATGTAATCCAGTACTACTCACTAAAAGGTTGGATCATTGGCACCTAAACCAATTCTCCCACTAAACTTTTCTGTTGAGAGTGGTTAGATACCCAGCAGGATAAAAAACAAAACCTGTCAACTGATGGATAAACCTTCTTGTCGGATCAATGCCTATCTAGCACAATGACAGAAGACTGAGCACTATAGTTGTGTATGCAGCCATTGCATTGATGACACAGCATCACTAAACAGAAGGGCTTCCTAGACTGAAATCAATGGCTAGGGTGGGCAGTTCTCCTGATGGAATCAACAGCCACATATCTGTGACCAAGGTAACCATTCAAGTTGGAGAATACTGGCTGTTTTGATTTAGAGGGATGGGCTCTGCCAGGTCTATTTACTCAAGGCATGTTATGCATGTCTGGTTTCCAACCCAGATATGTTGATGGAACTTCTTAGGTGAAGTTGTGGGACTGATGGTGAATATGATTTAAAGGTTACAATGTTAAGTAATATTTTCAGCTTTCAAATATCTTCATAATTCTTTTTTAACTTAAAATGTTTTTTTAAGAAGTTTTTTTTTTTTTTTTTTTAATGAATCAGTTTTTATTTTGAAGCAGACAAATGTTGATACAATCAAGTTTTTCTGGCACTTCAAGACATTGGCAATCACTCCTCTTCACAATTTCCTTTCCTTCAAAAGTACTTAATGTCTTTTTACTATCCCTCCCATTCCCTGTTCTGTCACCCATTTACACAAGCTTGTCTTGTTCTTGTTACTA